GATATGCATCCTGGGCCAGAGGTTGTGGGGAAGAAGCTGTAGGAGGAAGCACTGCCAACTGTACACTCACTGGAGACACCCCTCACAACAGGGAAATCCCCAACAGAGCACTTTGTGTGGTTTCTGTTCCTTTAGTGCCCCTTCAATGGCTCAAAGTTAGAAGAAGAGGCAAAGCCTCTGCCCCAGACTATTGATTGTGGCCCCTTGACCTTTCTGAAATAACTTGTTTGCTCCGCAGGCTGAAATGATTGGACACCACTACTTCAATCAGCATATGCTCATTCACTGCACAAGCTCAAAATCTGAGACCCAACCCCACCTCAGGAGCAACTTGGAGGTGCCCAAATGACAGTCATCAGAGGCAGAGAAGGTGAGGAGATGACTAGGCTGTGATTCCAATCAAGTAACAGGCAGGGTCGGGTGAATGTGTTAGGGGAGTGAAGGTGCAGCAGATGAGGCTGTGACCAAGAGAGGTGGGGAGCAGAGTGACTGGAGCCACAGGCTTTTCTCAGGTGGGAGAGAGGGAGGCAGGAAGCAGAACAAAGTTCTTTTAAATGCAGATATGTAAGGGAGGAATTTATCCATCTAATTTTCAGTGTGTGCATCTGCTGAACATGTTACTCTGCACTTTCAGGTATGTGAAGTTAGAATACACTTCAGTATCTTCTCTTTCTGCTGTGCTGTCACACTCCTCCTCAGATCCTTTCACTGTCTCCCTCTCCATCAGGGTCAAGCTCCCCAACTTTTTAAACTTTTGATCAAGGGTGAAAGTAACTTAAAGGATATACCGGTATGCCGGAGTCCTGAGCGGGTGTGGCCTCAATGGGAAGAGGCGGGGCCTTTCAAGATTTAAATCACCCCAGAGCTCCCAGCTGCAGAGGTGGCTAGGAGCCCCGGGGCTCAGAGGTAAATTAAAGGGCCCGGGGCTCCAGTGCCACGGAGCTCCGGGCCCTTTAAATCACCGCGGGAGCCCTGCCACTGCTACCCTGAGGCGGCAGGTCTTGGGCTAGGGCTGGGGTAGCGGCGGCAGGGCTCCAGCACTGATTTAAAAGGCCCGGGGCTCCAGCCACTGCGGGGAGCCCGGCCCTTTAAATCGCCTCCAGAGCCCTGCCACCACTGGAGCCCTGGGCCCTTTAAATCACCACCAGAGAAGTCGGTCCAGTCCGGCATGGCGTACCGGCTCCTGCCAGCTTACTTTCACCTCTGCTTTTGATGATCCACAGCATCATCTCTTCTGAATGTTCCCTTTTGGTCTCTCTCCACACTTATCTTCCTGCTACCTTCTTTTGTGTCATCCTCTATGTTTGGAACAGCTTCTCACTTCCCATGGGTCAAGAGTCCCCCTTCTCCAAATCACTCCTTGAAACCAACCTCTTTCTCAAAGCATTTCTACCTTGAGCTTCTCATTGACTGTGTCTACACCTGCTCATCTGGAACTGTTTGTCTATGTGTTGTATTTTTCTGATTAATTTATAAGTTCATGATGGTTGGTACTCTGTTCTTTTATGGGTTATATAAAGAACCATGTGTACCTACATCACATTGTAATAATTATTATTGTTTGATTTCAGTCATCTTGGGTTTTCCCATCAGTCATTTGGCTATCCATGACTCCTACCTCTGCTTTACTACTAGTTTGTTAATGACAAAATATAAAATTGATAGAACAAAACAATTCCTTGTAGATGGGTATGTAGATAGATGCTATGTTTGGGGGAATTAATGTTTGTCATGTAGCTGTAAGACCTCAGATGAACCTTTTCTTTACACAAGGGGAAACCTGGACTGTTCTAATCCTTACAAGTCAATTATCATCTAAACTGCTCATTTCCTGCTGCAATTTAAGATTCATAAAATCTGAATGGGATATGCATTTTTAATGCTATGGCTGGAATCATAAATATTGCCGGCCTTGTTTGCCAGAATATTAATAAAATATCGACTCTGAAACTCCAAAAAGGAAAAATATCTAAGATACACTGATTCAGTTTCATAACCCAGTAATTCTGACAGCCTTTTGAGATGATTAAATAGGTTTGGAGAAATCCAGGCCCTTAAGTATTAGCTCCATTTGTGAAACCCTAAATGTTTTTCTCTCTTTTAAATAATGCAGGAGCAGGTGCTGGCATTTCAGTTCAACTAATTAGCTTCTAATTTACTGTAAACATCTTAGAATTCCATGAAAATGTCTCAGCGGTATCCAAGAGGAAACAATCTACTGGTTCAATAAATCTTTCCTGAAATACCACTGAGAATTGACTAAATATGTGAAGTGTAGCCTGACTTAATACATTTGAATTTTTTTTAAATACATTGAAACGCAAGATAAGACTTCCAAGCTTTCCTTAATATTGTCATTATATGTTTAAAGAGAGACTGCATAAAAACAGTAGGTCTCTGTGTTGAGGAAACCATTATTTTAATTTGAAAGGCTGTAAGATACTGCTACATATGGCTTAGTTCAATTTACTACTCATAATTCATTCAGGGACAGTAAATGTGCCAGTAACAGTATTACTATAGGAAACATCAATGTTTTATCCTATTTGTACATTATGCATGTATCTATTTTTGTTTACAATATACAGGCACATATTTAGGTATTACATTCATCTACTTCTATGTCATTACCTTATGCAACTTGGTTGTGAGTACAATTAATTTTATATTATATATAAAATATCAATATTATACAGAATTGATAGATGATTTAAAGACATTGAGAGGTCTATGCGTACAAGATACAAGTCCAAGCTGCAAGGTTCAGATTTGTATTTGGATCTGAATTTTGAATTTACACTTCAAAAGGTGAGGTGTGCTTTTGTTGCTTGTGGTGTGGTGTTTGCGGTGATTTGATGGATTTAGAGTTTTAGTTTATTCTAGTCTCAAATCATAGAATTCAGATAAAAAATTAGCTATGACTTTTTTGGGGGGGAAAGATGGTAAACGTACTTACTTTTGTTTATATCCTATAAAAATAAATACAACTTTAATTTGAAGTTGCTCACAATAAATACAACCGAATAAAAATATTGGCCTAGATTTCTCTTTCACTGCTTGATGAAAATGTGCCAATTAAAGTGAAATAATCTTGTCAATTACTATTATACTAAAACACTATTTTTACAACTTAGTTTGCCTAAAATGTGCACATTTATTTTTCTGGCTTATCTTTGAAGAGCAAAAGACCTTTATTGTGTTTCCAGAGATAATAGAATTTACACTCCAGTGCCTGATTAGGGTCCTGATTCAGCTTACGCCTGTGCCTAACTTTCAGCATGTTAGTAGTCCCCATAGATTTGTGCTTAAGTATCTTGCTGACTCAGGGCTTTGGTGAGCTAAAAATCCATCGCAAGTAACAGCATGCAGTAGCTAAACAAAGAGGAAGGTGGTGCTAAAAATTTGGGAAGAAGGATCTCTCGTACGTGGGTAGATTAATTTTTCAGCTACAGAAGACTGACAGCAAGTTATTTATCATACTGTGACTTCCTTCTTGTAAGAGCCATTTTGAGAAAAGTATATTTTCTGAAATGTTGTTATTTCAACATAATAGGTTAGGCTGAGAGAGAGAATGGCAGCAGACAGAGATGTTTGCATGCTATTACCTGCACACAAATTTTTGTAATTTGGACAATGCTGTTAGTAAAGGGAATCTTCAAAGTGTTTGGTTTGGATAAGTAGCCAAAAGTTTGGTACTAGTTGGAAAAAAGAAATAAAGGTGAACAGAAAAATGAAATTGTCACAGGTAATGTTAGATCACACAATTATATTGTTCTCTAACCTCTTTTATCTCAACTTTCACTTGGTATATAATTTATTTGCATAAACTGTGTTGTAAGGATGGGGAAAAGTAAACATTGCTGTTAGTGAAAGATAGGATGGGGAAGAGAAATAATCACTCTGAGGGTGAGGACTTGAATATCTATATTTGAGGATCGATTTGAAAGTAGAATATTAAAGAGAATAAAGTTTAATATTCATGTATGTTTATGCATAGGAAGAATAATTGGCTGAAACTGGTATTAACAAGCAGATGTCACATAATGAAAATAACCAAACTAGTCTGAACTGGAAAATGATGAAATTGCAAAAGTATTAGGATTTGACTCTTGAACTAACAAAGCTCATGACCTGTTTCTACAGAGTATCAAGTTACATTGGATTGCAAAAACGGGGACACTGTGGGACATGTGATGTAAGAAACACTGTGCTGCCACAAGAAGCTTTAGGCTGGTAGGTGAAAATCATTCTTCAAAGGGATAATATTGGTACAATTATTCCCCTTTATGAAGAAGCCAGATTGAACCAAATGTGATGAGTACATTCAGGACATTTTCCTGGGGAAGGACCATCCCAGTCTCTACTACAAAAGTAAAAGGCCTTTTCTTCTCTGACGCTAGCTTCTACAAGGAGCCGAACCACTTATTGAGATGCCTGTATACGGATTTAGGTACCTAAATTCAGGCAAACATTTGAAAATTTTATTCTACATTTACTTTTGTACCTGAAATGATTGTAAAACCAGTGAGACAAGGTGGATGAGGTAATCAAAGATATTACCTTATCCTGTCTCTCTGATATCTTGGGACCAACAGCAACACTGTAATATCAGTGACATTCATTCCATTTCTTGTCATCTGCTGACTGCATAGTGCCTTTGTTTGAAGCCAATTGTTCTCTTCGCATGACTGGCTTTTGGATACTAGTACCTCAGTTATTAAGTCCTCATATTATAGCTTGATGACAGTGGACAGAACAATTCTTTATTAGCAAATTCCTAGCAAATGCACAAGTGATTGCTCAATGAAGCATTCTAATTAAAGAAATGATAGAACACACTCTATAAATTACTTCAGATTGTCAAGGAGATAAGGCAAATGTCAATAATCTGGTCAATAACCTCATAAAATAACTTTTTTTCTGACACAGACCACATAAATCATTATTTTATTGCTGATTCGATAACAGAGGGGAATCCCATGAATAATTAGGGTAAAAAATAAAACGTCATCACCATAAAGGTAAAGGAACATTTTAAAGAAAAGGGCAATGAATAGTTACTTATAAATTATGACTACTAGAAATGAAACATAATGTCAGTTTTAATATGTCCTTCTGAACTGTCTTACACATGTAGATATAAATATTGAAGATTTCTATAGTACCTGTTCAATGTATTTTTTTTCTGACGCATGCATTCTTATGCTCACAAAACTGCCTAAGCACAGTTTTTTATATTAAACATGCTAGACCTATTTTGTTTATCTCTATGAATGTCCTTGTCTGTTTTGTTTTTCATAGCATATAAACAGAGAAATTAGATAGAAACATAAAATGTGCTTGCTGGAATAAGAATACTTTGTTTCTTAGAATTTGAAATGATAATACACAAAAAGTCCCAAACAGAGAGAGTTCCTTAAAACAGAGAGGCACCACTCACCCACCTTACTCTAGGCTTCCTGTCTACAGACTGACTACTGATCACAGGCTTCCCTACAGAGCCCCCTGCCTGCAAGCAGGATCAGGAAACCCCTGAGAATTTAAAGTGATCACAAGTTTAACAAAGTTTTCAATACCCTACAGTACCAAGGAAACCAAACTACAAAAGTTGCTAGAGTTTTGGCCACTGGACATGATGTAAGATTCACTTGTGCCCCCTCTTTCAGAAAGGGTGTTGACTATCTTGCTTTCCAACCTCCCAATAGGTGTAATTACATCTGAAATGACTATCTTAAACCCATAGATTAAGGGTCAGCTCCCCCATAACATCCATACTTCCCCCAGCAGTTGTTTCACATTCATTTGGGTCATCTAGGACATTAAAGGGTTTTGTCACCCCCAAGCTGTGAAACCAGATCTCTTACCACCCTAAATCTTCCTTGCATCTAGAGAAGTCCTGTACCAAGGTCTCACCATGTCAGGGACTGCAAGTCTTGATCCCTAATCCACAGGGCTCTTAGGAGCCACTAAATTCCAACCTGCCACTGGTCGCCAAAACTAGAAATTGACCTCTGTCAGAGCACTCCAGTCCAGGGATTAGCAGAACTCTGAGGGTCCTGCTTGGTTCCCTGCTTGTATTTAAACCAAGCATAGGAACAAGAACTTGTCCATGAAACTGGGGGTTTCCCCTGCTTAGGCCTGCCTCTCTTGCACTACCTACTGCCGGACTCTGCTCTCCAGTCTCCTGTAACCTGACCCTGCCTGCCTCCTGACACCTCACTCCTGGTTTCCCCTCTGGCCTCTCTCAGACTCTGACTTCCTGGTATCTGAAATGACCTGACTCCCAAGTCCAACTCTGACCACTAAGTGAGACTGCCCGCATCCAGGTTGTGACAGTTTGCATGGACCGCTTAGGCCACAGGCGTGGGCCCAGTGCCAGCAAAACTGATCTGGCTAACCCTTTGGGAGTACCACACATGCTCAAATAGGCTGCCTGCCTTCAGATAGATAAGCAATTCCTGCAGGCCTGGGTCATCTAACTGACCTCAGAGAACTAGCTATTGCAGAAGCATGTAATAAAACACGCACTCCAGACACGGGCTCGCAGAGTCCTATTTATCAATATATCTGCTGGAACAGTTTAATGGTAATTGCCAGAGATTTTGGGGTCTTACAAACTAATGCCACCTCCTGTTCATGGTGCATTGTCAGTCCTACAATACCGATCATACAAAAGTGAGTCCGGTTAGCAACCTGTTATCAGAGGAAGCATTAACCTGGGCCTTCAGCTTCTTGGAGTGCGACAGCCTGGTATGGTTGAACTGGGAGGTCTTCCTCCAAGCCATGTCAATGCTATCTGATGATCTCAAATGGTGGAGACTGCCCCAAGAAAGCTCCGGTAGGGGCAGGACACCGTAGCCACCTGTGCGGTGTAATTCTGTCACCTCACAGACAGTGCAGATTGGAATAAGGGGCGCAGCTGTACCAGTTCCGATGGCTCTGCAAGAAGAAATTAAAGATGAATTAGCCCAAGTGGAGACACCTACGAGTCTGGATGCCATCCTCGATCGCACCATCCATATAGACAATTGGTTACAGGAACTAAGGGAGGAAAGAAGGGGGATCTTGCAACTCTCTGGTCCATGTACTTTTACTGCTTCGTCAGTGCCTCCCACTGAGCCAATGCAGGTGGATGTGGGCTCTGGATGGCTCACCCCTGTAAAAAAGGAACAACATCACCAGAAACATCTATGCTTCTACTGCAGTGACTCAGGTCACTCCATCAGCCTGCCCCATACAAACGCCAAGGAATCAGGTAAAAGAGTTCCCCCATAGTCCCATCTTGACTGGAACACACCCTGAGCTACCACTCAAGAGCTCCCCAGTTTCAGGTGCTGGTTTAGTTGCACATACCTGGGGCATTCCTGCAATCTCCCATCCTATTGGCCCTTATCAACTTGGGTGCAGCCAACTGCTTCATAGATGCAGCAGCAGCCAGGATCCTGCAGATTCCTCTGCAACACAAGACCACTTTGACCTCATAGACTACTCATGATTCCTCTTTGTCTTCTGTCAAGTAATGGAGGAAACAACTCCTCTGGAGGCTGTGATGCAGGGTACCAAGAAATGTTACAATATGGCATGATCCATTCTACACATTTTCCCTTGGTCCTCTGTATTTCCTGACCATCCCCTGCCCCCAATCTACTCATTCAGTGGCAAGCACAGGAAATCCGTTTTCCATTGGAGTTTTGTCAGCAGCACTGTTGTGGACTGGTAGATCCTGTCCCAGCATCTGAACCTTGGGCGGCTCAGGGGAGAGCGGCTTTCAAGGTATAAACTTCTGTTTAAGCAATGTCGGAACTTCCCTTGAAATACCAAGACTACACCGATTTTTTTGAAAAGAGGAATGAGGAAACCTTGCCTCTGCACTGGACTATGACTGCCCAATAGAGCTGTAGCCTTGAGCAAAATTACCATTTGGGCAAATTTATGCCATGTGAGAACCTGAGCTGAGAGCTCTCCAAGAGAACCTATAAGTTGACCTCACTGGCTGGCACACCAGTCCTTTTTGTCAAGAAGAAAGGAAGCAGTCTCCAACTATGCATTGACTATCGTACATTGAATCAGATAACTATCAAGAATTGTTATTTGATACCCCTGATTCCTGAATTGCTGGATCATGAGGGGAGCTGCCCATGTATTCACTAAGTTGGACCTCTGGGGTGCATAGAACCTCACGTGAATCAGGGAAGGGGATGAGTGGAAGAACACCTTCCACACTGGGTATGGCCACTATTAATGTCTTGTAATGCCCTTCAGGCTGACCAATGCCGTGATACCTTCCAACATTTTATAAATGATGTGTTCTGAGACATACTGGATCAGTACTTAGTAGTCTATCTAGATGACATTTTGGTCTTCTCCATCTACCCTGAACAGCATATTGCTCATGTCCAAATGATTCTGGAATGCTTATTGCAGCATGGCCTTTACAGCAAGTTTGAGAAGTGTGCTTCGATCAAGCCTCTCTGAAGTTCTTGGGCTTTGTCTTATCTTCAGAAGGGATCCAGATGGACCCACACAAGGTCAAAGCTGTCTGATGGGCTAACTCCCCACTCAGTACATGACCTGCAATGCTTCCTGGGGTTCCCCAATTTTTATCGAATAGTCATCCCAATTTTTTTCAAAACAAATTGATCCTCTCACTGCTCTCCTTTGGAAAAATGCTGAATTCTGAATAGTCTGCCATGGCCCAGCATGTGTTAAATTAGCTGAAACTCTCCTTCAATACCTCACCCATATTGGCTCATCCAGATATCACACAAGCCTTCATTGTAGAAGCTAATGATTCCAGTACAGTGACCAAGGCTGTCTTCTCCCAATGACTTGGTTCCAAACAAGTATAACACACATGTTCTTATTGCTTGAAGAATCTCACTTCCACATAGCTAAACTACAAAATACTGGATAAGGAACTCCTGGCGATAAAAAACACCTTTGCAGAATGGCGGCACTACCTGGAAGGAGCTCACCACCCAGACCAGGTATTCATTGATCGTAAAAGTTTGGAGTACCTATGTAGGGCGAAAGCTTTAAACCTATGGAGTACCTATGTAGGGCGAAAGCTTTAAACCTATGGGCCGTAGTTTTCTAATGATTTGATTTTGTCATTACATATCACCCCAGTTCCAAAAACGGCAAGGCTGGCACCATGTCCCGAAGATGCAGTACCAACCCACGAGTGTCTGGCCAGGAACCAACCTTTATTCTCAAAATCCATAACTTTCTCAGTGCAAGTCTTCATCAGGATATTCTCATGTTGATATGGTCTGCTTCTGCCTGAGGAATTCTGCCTGATGAACAAGCTATTATCAACAAGTAATTGCAAGACTTCTAGGAAGGGATCAGCTATGTAAGAGACCACCATCTATGTTCCCTTAGGACCTGCAAAAGTTGCAGTCCTGCAACTATACCATGACTTTCCCCTAACAGGACACTTGGAGTACATTAAGACGCAACAATTGATATCCTACCCTTTTTGGTGGCCCCAGATGCACCCAATGATAGTCATTTATTGCCTCCTGTTATGTTTGTGCCTGCAACCAGACACCAAGCCACAAGCCTTGCAGTCTTCTCCAGCCCTTGGACACCCCACCTCAACCCTGGGTGGCTATTGCCATAGACTTTATTGTAGAATTACAAGAGTCCAATTTTTACAGTAGTGGACCACTTCATCCCCTACACAGACTTCCCTCTGCTGAAGAGACAGCTCAGCTATAGATTAGCCATGTAGTCTGCCTCCATAGCCTTCCAGAGCTCATGACTTCTGAATGGGGATCTCAGTCCACAGCCCAGTTCAGGTGTGAGGCCCTGTGCCTGCTGGGGATCTGCATGTCTTTCCTCTGCTTACTATCCCTAGTCTAACGGCCAGCTTGAAACACCAACCAAATCCTCAAACAGTATCTGAAATGCTACATCATTTGTAACCAGGATGATTGGTCTTCACTTCTCCTTTATATGGAATTCACATACAACAACACAGAACATGTGTCTATGGGTCAAAGCCCCTTTTTTACTAATTATGGTACCACTCTCAGTTCCACCCACAATTACCTATGGCCTCTCACCCTGGCTTCCTGAGAACTAGTACAGCATATGCATTGGGCCCAGGAAGAAGTAAAGGATCACCTGGAAAAAGCAAGAGTAGACTATAAACGGTATGTGGACTAGCATTGACAGCAAGTCCCCAGCTTCTCAGTGGGATGAATTTATAGATCTCCATGGAACATCTCTGGACAGACAGACCTACTTGCAAGCTGAACTTTTGGTTCCTTGGCCCTTTTAGGATCCTGCAACCTCTTAATTCAGTCACTTTTGAAGATTAATCTGGTGTTTTATGTATCACTTTGAAGCCCTACATGGAAAACCCTTTCCCACACTGAACCCAGCCACATCCTCCACTGGTTCCAGCACAAAACCAGATCTCTTATCCCTCTGAGTCTGTCTTGCTCTCAGTGGAGTACTGACCCACAGCTATTTACTTAGCTAAGCCAGGGTCCCACCTGTCCTAGTAGATGCTGGGCCACAGTTCCTTTTAGCTAGCTATGTCACAGACATACTCAACACTGACTCATTTTCCTCAATAGGGTTTATATCTTTGACCACTGAGTATTGTCATGGCAGATTTGTATGTGTGCTCTTGGGCTCCACCCTGTTACAGCATTACAGAAAATAACCCATCAAGAAATCACAATTCCCACAGTCAGAATCCCGGAATAACCTTTAGTTTCCACAATGACTTACTCTACAGGCAGTGTGATGAGGGCCATCACAAACACATATGGTTTTCTACTAGCCCCTGATCATACACACCATTCTGTTCTTTCTGGGTTCCATGGGTGTGGCTTCACTTTCTGTTGTTTGAGCTGCCTGTGTTTGCCTGCTCAGCAAGCTTTTTTGTTCCATCTCTGCCTACTTGCACTGACATCTGGCCTCCAGCTCTATTTGTTTCTCTTCCACTAGCAGCCTTTCCACTCCAGCCTCTACAGAACTGCACCTGTCTCTGCTGGATTGTCTGGGGAACAGTCTGCTTGGTCTACAGCACATATTTCTAGCACATGTACATAGTCATCCACACACAGATCACACAATGATATTTATGACCAGCATCTCACCAGTTTTTATATGATACTTTAGTCAGTAAACTAAGTACTGTATAGTACAATAATATTGTATACAATCCGTTGATTCAATTGCTCCAGGGTTGGAAGACCCATGGAAAAAAAATAGTGGGTGCTTAGTGCTTACCAGCAGCCAGCTCCTCCCCCACCCCCCAGCACCGCCCAGCCCCAGTGGCCATGCCAATCAACTCCTCCCCCTCCCTCCCAGTGCCTCCCACCTGCCATGAGCAGCTGTTCTGTTGTGTGCAGGAGGTACTGGAGGAAGGGGGAGGAGCAGGGATGGGGCAGGCTCAGGAGAGGGGCAGAACTGGGCAGGAAGAGGTGGGGTGGGGGCAGAGTGGTGGTGGGAAGAAGTGGGGCAGGGATGGGTTTTGGGGGCAGGGGTAAAGTGGGGGCGGGGTCTGGGGCAGAGCAGAGGTTGAGCATCCCTGGGACAAGGAGGAAGCTGGTGCCTGTGCTCCTGCGTGCCCTATAGGAGAAAAAGGATTCCCCCGGTTTGGAGCAGGTGTCCAATCCTGCCTCAGGGCATATGAATGCAGCATGGCCACAAGCTCTGATTTATTCTGATCAGTTACTGACAGACTTCACTTTGCACACGGCTCTTTTAACGGTTTCTTGGTGAGCTCAGCATCTGTTTCTTTGCTCAGCCTCTCTTTGCTGATGTTTATTCATTTTATACTTTCCTTTGCTCTGTTTCCTTCACCCAAAATAAACAAACAGAAACCAACAAACTGTAACCTTCTCTGCCTGTTCCCAGCCTTCTCATTCTGAATCATTTAAAAATCTAGTTTACTAGTTGAAGTGTGAACCATAGTC